CTCCCTCCCTCCCTCCCTCCCTTTCTGTTCTTCCTTTCTTTAATAGCAACAGGACAGTGACAGGACTTGGTTTTCAATATTTACCATGTTTTCAACTGATGTTTGTTTATGGTGTGGTTTTTTTTTCAGATAGGGAACTCATCCTTATAATAGTGGGTACAGTGTTTGGAGCCATTATCCTGAGCTTAGTGATAGCAGTCGCTGTTATTTCAGTAAGGTAAGAGTATTTCTTACAATTGAGTAAAAGCTGCATTGTTACACTTTCATAGAGAACTAAGCAGAAATTCAGAGGGGCAGAGCTGTGAATGTCGTTGCATACCTAGTTGGGCAGACAAGTTCATTTAAGTCATGTATCCATTACAATTTGGTTTTGCCTATGTGGTCTTCCCAGAAGTATTTATTCTCTTGCTGTGAATTCAACTATAAAAGCTTCAGTCAAGTCTTCAAAATACACACCTGACCCAATAATCCAAATCCTGCTCTAGCCAGTGCTTGTATGGCATCTGGATAAAACTGAAGAAGGATGCTGATATCAGAAGACTGTGTGGCCCAAATTTAGACCCTCTACAGCTTTCCCTGCTAGCACTTCAGCTCAAAGTCTGGCATGCTCCTTTCAGCTCAATACAGGTGGCATTTCCAGCTAAGCATCTCTTTAAAGCCTGCTATTCCTGGTGCACTGGCAAATTCCCAAATGCAGTTGCTCCTCCTCACTTCTCTCCACACAATAAATACAGAAACACTCAAGGAGCTCCTCTGCCTTTGCTCGCAGCACTGCCCAGGTAAAGGTGCCTACAAGACCACCCATAGCAGGCACAGCTCACCATCAGCTGCACAAACTGGTGCTGAGTGCATGCAATGTATAGACTTGTGATCACAGACAATTTACATTCATCACTTGAGTGTTCAGATTTGTCTGCAGGCATGAGGGCAACTTTTCTTAACTGGTCTTAATGAATGCCTCATTTCTTCCTCTGAATAGTCAGTTAGAGCTAGTGGTGGTTAAGGAAACTCCTTCACACTTGGAAATGGTGGAAAGAGGCCAAAGTCCCCCTCTGTCTCTCTTAGCAGTTTAGCCGCATCTGTGATAAGAGATGCCAGACTTTGTACTCTATCATGAATAACAAGGGGTTTGCAATAGGTGTGCTAGATAAATCTTTTGCATGTTTCAAAACAGGACTGTGCATTCAAAATGAGGTGGGAGTGGACAACTCAATTAGTTGGACTTGGTAAGTAAGGCACACTAAAACTTCTGTTAAACCCCCTTTGTTCTTTCATTTCCTCTGAAGAGCCAAACACAAACGTGATCCAGAGAAGAAGAGCCTGATTAAAACAGGATATTCCAACCCAAATGTTGATAATGATAGACAGTCCACGATGTTCCCCAGAGTCCAGACCACTTCTGGCCATGCAAACCCAGGATATCAGCCAAACAACCCATATGAGATGCGTTCTGCCAATAGAGGTCGTTTTCCAGAAAGGGATTATGATGATTTGGTAAGTGTTTCACACAGGCCTATGGCATTCCCGAACTGTAGTGCTGGGGGCTGCAGACATTGCTGGAATCTAAACACCCTGTCCATCCTCCCTTGATCTAGAAGGCTAAAGTGGTATGAACAACTATAGCTGCAGCTGAAAAAATTTCCCTTAATTTAGAGATCAGCAGTCATCTTATAAAAACCTTTTTAAATCCCCAGTAGTTATCCTTGAGTCACAGGAGGGGTATGTGAAAAGCAAGGGTCAAAGCAACACTTTGGCTACCCAATGGTCTACAGTGTCATAGGACATTTGTTTGCATTGAGTGAACACCTCGTTAGGCACAGGTGTGCATGCAGCTATCACAGCTTGTTACAACCTGTGCTTCTTTTAAGCCAGCTGTAGTGTCAGTAGGTGCTGCAGTGGCTCATCCCAGTTGCAGCCTCATGCAAGATTCACATTCATCTTAAGCTGGCTCAGCTGCCCAGAGGGTCAGTGTCCTCCCACCCACTCTGCCACTGCCTAGTTCACTGCAGGAGCCTCTGCAGTTGGAAAAGGGTCAAGTGCCATGAAAAAGCTAGCATAGCTTTTGCACTGATGTAGCCCAGGGGAGTCTGTTCAGCAGAGACATGTCATTAGCTGGAAGGTGTGTTCTGAAAAAAATGTCTTGTTTTATCCTTGAACTCTGCAGCAAGGGAGCTGCAGAGGGAGCAGGGGCTTGAGAAGTGTTATGCTGTGATATGATTGATTTTCTGGGTTCTCCATGCATCAAGTAAATAGGAAACACACTGTCTATTTGAGTCTCATTTAAATGACATTTTAGCTCCACCTCTGCGGTACAAGAAAATAACCCTATTTAGTGAAGAAAATCTGTTTAATTGTAAACATTTATGTGTTTTACAGAACTGAGGCGTAAACCGTGATAGAAGCAACACAGAAACCTGATGTTTAAAAAAACCTCCTGCTTTTAAAAAGCTGCCAATTAAGAGAAGAAAACCAACTATTTAGTTAGTTTCACGTAGATTTTGGCATTTCTAACTTTCCAAAGAGGTCAAATTTTCACGGATTAAAATCTGCCTGTTTGGTTTTCCTTGAGGGCTGTTGTGTCACAGAGGGCTTTCATGTACAGTGTGCTACATGCTGATCTATTCTGAGGAAGGAGCTTTCTGACCCAGAGCTACTCTTTCTTTCTTTCTTTCTTTTCTTGTCCAAATTCTCTGTAGTACGAAATATCACGAGAGCCTGGGGGCTTTAGGACGCAGAGCAGATACTAAGCGGCCAGAGCGGTGGAAGGATGGACGACCACCGTGACAGTGGGTCAGGCCAAAGAGTTTCACAGCTTCTCACCAATGCAGTTACTTCAGCAGAAGAGACAACAAAGACCATAAACCCAGATTCTCTGAAAATTTTCTAAAGGAAGATGCCTGCTTGAAAGAGATCACGGACAACTCTCTGAAATAAGAAAAAATGAAGCAGAGGGTAGGGAGAAGACGACGACTTTTAAAAGAACTAACGGTCTTCAGTAAACATTAGACTTCTTTCAGGAGGCCAGTACATTGGCAAGGGAGTGGGTACACCAGGATTTAAACCCTGCTGGTTTTCAATTCTTCTGGAAGATGGTTCAGGCAATGTGTTTGATGCTGAAAAGTATCAGCACCCAGAGCTTTGTCTGTATTTGTGCTCATGCCATTTCTGCTACAGGCAGCCTGCATGGCTTTGGGCAGATGAAAACTGTTCTTCATGAGAACCTAAGCTGTTTCTCTTTACTGTATCAGCTACAGTCTCTTTTCCCTCCTCAACCCCCCAGAATTTCCTATCTGAAAGCATTCTGTTCAGATCTCTGCTGACATGCGTTGTGTGAGACAATGGTACTTGTCTGACCTTTTATACAACCTGCCTTCCCAATACAATGACAAGAAACAATATCTTCAAACAAACACTATTGTTCTGCATCTTGCACAACTACACTGATTTTACATTCTCAGCTCCTGTGGAAAGTGTTAGCATTTTTTTTTCTCTTGTACTCCTTATGTTCTGATCGAATGATCTCAAAGTTGGTTGGGGTTTTTTTTTGTTTCTTACATACACTCAATAAATCTGTCTGTAAAAGAATCCACATTTTACTGTACTTTAATGAGTGTGCATTATCTAGTAACTAGCATTAAAGTTTCCTTATATATATAATATATATATGCACAACTATGTACATATATTTATAGGTTAAGTTCATTTCAAGCATCATTTAATTCCATGTTATATTTTGTGTTTTGGTTTTTATATGTGCAGATTAACTTTTCCTATTAAACATTATTGTTTCTCAGTACCAAGGCTTTCCTATGTTGCTGCCCAGTGGTGTAAGTGTTTTTTAACGACTCCAACGATGCAAGCGTGCAGAGAACGGTTGCATCAGCACCCAACTTTCGCTCAGAGGTTCCAATCAGAAATATTATTAATTTTAATGAAGCTAAAATTTTATTGTTTTAAGACTGGCACCAATTTTCTGTGATTATTTTTGGTGGGAACTGGGTAGTTAATGAAGCTGGGTCTCCTTTGAGAATGCTGGACAAGCTGCTCTCTGTGATGGCAGCTTTGTGCATATGGGTTTGTTAATGTCACACAGCTAAAAAAAGTAGTGTCTTTCTGCTTAAATGACAAGTTTGCAGGCCCGTGGTAGAGAACACTGTATGTGGCCATAGCGATTACCAGGATACAACTGCAAGCAGGTTGTTCCACTGCTCTGATCAAAACCAACTCCCACTCACCAGTTACATGGTTGAAAACTGGGAACTAAACAGTCCTGATCTTTCTCATGTGGCTTCTCTAGCAAAAGAAGATAGACCCTGTTTTCTCTGAACTGACTGCAGTGAGTAGTAATTCAGAAGTAGTCTGGTGAGAAAATGTGCAGTTTTCTCTCTGTTGTTTTCCTGGGTTTTCACTGCTTTGTTCTTCCAGTAGATTCCTGCCCCCTTTCCTGCTGTCACCTGGCTGCGCAGTGCTGGCCATTGGCTGGTGTCTGTAGGAGGCCAGGCTCTGGAGGCCTTTGCCACCCTCCCCTGACTGTGCGCAGTAAAGGTGACCTTTACTCCATGTCAGCAGGGCTAGCTGGATTTAGTTCTTCATGATACCTTTAAAAGGTTAGTAGAAGTTTGGTCTTATTTTCTTGACTTTTCCTTGAAGAGTACTCACCCATGAGGAGTAAAGCAAGGCATGGTGGCTACCCTTAGCACAAGAAGCAGAGAGGCCCCATCCTTCCCCCAGATAGAAAAGCCCTACAAGGGGCACCAGCTCCTTTCCCCAGCAGTTTCGTTAATGTATGGCCCCCCAGGCCTGCTGTCCCCTTCTTTTTTCTTTGAGCCCTGTGTGTCCCCACCATTGCCTGGGTGAAGGAGATGCTTCCTGCTTCTAATCCCTCTGCTAAGCCCTTTCATTTTCCCCCTTTTCCGGAATTTTCAGCAGCAGGAAAGGTCCTGCTGCCAGCAGAACACTCAGAGGAGTTTGCATGGAGTGAGACACTGAAAAATGGGTGGGATACAGGCAGAACAAACGGTAAAAAGTCATGAAGCTCAGTGCAGACTTCCTCTTCATTCAGCTCACTGTTTTTGCTTGGATATCCCCTCCTCCGCTTTGTACGGCAGACTGAAACTCGAGGTAATGTGGAGTCTAATAAAAAGATTTCTCTACATCAAGAGTAACAGCCCACGCATCATGGTCTTTCACTGAGGTAAAATTGCCTGGTTCTATTGGCTTAGTGCAGAGGATCCTTGAAACACATGTAACAGTAGCCTGCTACAGAGGCACATGAAAAGGCTTTTAAGTGTTATCTCTTATTCTTTCACAAAGCAATAGGGGTTGGAAATGCAGCTGAAAGCTCAACGATAAACGAAACTTTAATGCAGTAAAACTTTACTGAGGGTGTGATATCTAGATTTGCTGTCACTGATAATAAAAGCAGCAAAAATAGTCAGGTGTTTGCATCATTTAACTGCAGAGGAATTTTCATTGCTCTAGTTCAAAGCTAATTTCTGCAACTGCAACCAGTTCTCATTTAGTCTGTGCTGGGGAGGGGCTATCAGATACAACTCTTTAGCATTTCAAAGGCTGCTACAGCTTTTTATCAGGACTAGAATTCTGTACCAAAAGGGCAATCTCTCAGATATTTCACTTCTGTTTGGCTATGAGCAATGTGTGATTCTGCTGGGAAATATGATCATGGAAAATCACATTCTGTGGTGTTTTATGATTGCTGCCACTTGGCCCATGTGTTTTTTTTTTAGCTGCCTATCCTTCAAAATCCACCTGGGCATGGGAAAGGGAGCTGAGCGTGACCCTCACACACCGGTGTGAGAGAGGATATGCCTGCAGGCAGGGTGAGGGGCTTCAGGGAACTACCACAACTTGTTTTGTGTCCTGGGATCTTCATCCCTCTTCTCCCCCAACACAGAGGGTGTCCTGCTGGCATGCAACCCACAGAGGACATGGAAAGATGGTGCCACTCAAGTCTGCCACCTACTTTTGTCCTGACCAAAAATTACACTAGAGATGTTGCTTGGCACGTCTGTGCAGGGTGTACTGAAAAATGCTAAAGGTGTCAGGGACAGAGGTTTGCATGATTGTAGCACATGTATGGGGGTATTGGGACTGCTGCCATTCCTCATTTATCTGGATACACCTGGGTATACTGAACCAATGCAGGGTGGTAGGGGAGGGGTACGGTGCCATGGATGGCTGTGGGGTAAGAGCCTGGGTCTGGGCAGCTGTCACACAGTAATGTGATGGACCAGTGGGGTAAGGAAGGGCTTAATCAGGCCTGATGGATCTTGTGCTGTTTGCACTGTTTATGCCTGAACCAGCCTCAAAAATGAGACATAAAAACCTTCATCCAAACACCCCAGCAAAGCCCAGCATCCAAATTTACAAGGGCAGCGCCATTCAGGCCTGAGAGCAGGAATGATTTTGCATTTTTTTGGTTACCTGCTGGTGTAAACCACTCCCTGTTTTCTTTATGAGACTGTTTTTACATAGATCCTGCTTGTGATGTGCCAGACTGGAGAAATAAGCAAGTAAGAGCAAGCATTGAAGGTAAGACACCATTTCACACCCAAGGGCTTGACTTTTCACTTATTGTGTACTTCCTTTGACTTTGATGACTTGTTTTCAAGGTCAACGATAGCACTTCTTCCAACAGGAGGAACAGAGGTAAGGGAAAAGGAGCCTCTCCTCTAGCAAGAAGTGCTCCCCTCCTCACTAGGAATGGCTTCTGCAGCAAAATGGGATGGGATCCAAGCAGATACCCTGGCAAACATCACTGTCCCTAGACTGTTTTGGGGATACCACCTCAGCTTCATCCAGGCTCAGGAGGATGACTGGACCCTGGCACAACCCAGGGACAGATGATCCTGCTTGAAATTTGGGGTTCACTAGCCCAGGGGAACAAACCACAGAAAGATGAGTGAAGCAAATATAGCACTGCCTCATTCATCTGCCACTCCTGTGAGAGAAGGTCTGTAATTTGTCAAGTCTGGCAACTGCAAAGTCATCAATTGCTATTTTTTTCCCAGTTTCCCAACTTTCACCTTTTTATTTTTAACACAGTAATGCTCCCTGTTTCAAAGCCTTGTGTCTGGCGTTTGCAGATGGAGCAGCTTTGCTTATTAAGGGTTCCCAGGAAGATTAAACTGACTTCTCCCAAGTTTTGGGGTGTGAGCTGAAGCTACTAATTTTTTGCAGTAACCAGTCAAAAAAAATCCCCAAACGCAACACTAAAAGCCCAAAGTGGTCTAAGAACAGGGAAACCCATAAAACATCTCAGGTCACAATTAAACAGGAAATAAATAGGGCTAAAATAAGAATCCATAAATTGACTTGCAAAGAGTGCTCGAACTGCTGATAAAAGGCTCTTTAAATATATCAAAGTCACAAAGGTCTAGGAAATCTGTGGCAATGCTGATGACAAGGATATAAAAGGGCAGATGGAGATGATGAAAATATAGCAGAGAAGCTTGGTGATTTCTTTGTGGTTGCTTTTACAGCTGAAGCTATTTGGGGAGCTTCTCACATCTGTCACTCTCCTGCAGTGGATCAGCTGGAGGAGCCAGAGCAATCAGAAGTAAAAAGGTAACATGGAGTAAAGAGGTAGCAGGAGTAAAGCAAAGTAAGTGAAGTAACTAGGTAACAGGAGATATAAGGTCAAGTGGTGGTTGTTAATAAGTGACTAGGACCAGGTGGTGCTGATCCAGGGTACTGAAAGCAGTGGCACAGCCCAGGGTCAGGGCGGGCTGTGGTACCCAGCTGTGTTACCAGGCACATCCAGCCCACTGTACCCCATAGATTCACTGGGATGCACTGAGCCACCATTGATAGGTCTCTGAAGCCATTGACTTGGGGTGGCAGGTAAGTGCCTACCAGAATGTGGGGGTACACAATGCTAAAGGAGGTCAATGTAAAGCAGACAGAAAAAAAGTAATTTACAGGTGCAGGTAATGAACTTGCTGTCAGAGGGGTTTGCAGACACTGCAGGTTCACAGAAGAGATTAGGCAAATTCAAAGATACCAATGCATGACAGAGGTGTACCTTCTAACAGCAGGATGAGAAAGTGGGATTGCTGGAGGAAGGGGCTGTAAAAGGAGCCAGGCCCCCAAGGCAGCCCCTCCTGTTGCAGCCCCTGGAGCAGAGCCTGGGATTGGATGGACAACCTGTGACAGGGGGACATTTCTCACCTTCTAAACTCATTGAGCTGATTTATTTAATGGCAGCATGGGCTGGAAGGTGATGCCTGAGGTGTGTGTTTATAGCATGTCTTGTATTCCCTAATTATGCCCAGGCTCTTCATAAACTGTGGAGAGGCAGGGTAAGGTGCTGTACACCAGGCTCTTTGTTGTTTATGTAAGCAGCCTCATAAAAGAAGGGGAAATTTTTGCAAGCAGCTAACTCAAAAAATGCAAAACGCTTCCTGCTTTCGAGCCTGAAAGGTGCTGCTTTTCACACGCAAGCTCCAAAGAGCAACTTGTGGAGAGCAAAGTCTTTTCCTCTCTAGGAAAAGCAAACCAAGACTAGCAGCTCCCACCCTCCCTCTCCTGGTGGAAGCAAAACAGCTTGAGAAGAAGCTATGCCTCA